GAGCAGAGTTTCCATTAGTCTGGACCCTGATGATAAGCAGAGGCACATGCCAACTTATGTTGGAAATGTAGAGTGAGCAAGAAACAACACTGTTGTAATAAGCCACTGAGATTTTATATTTTTATTGAAGCCTAATCTAGATTATCCTGACTGTGATTATAGCTTCGGAGGTTTTGCCAGAGTATTCCAGTTTCTACACACAGTGAGAGTATTTGGGGAACAGAAGGTAGTGACCAGACCACCAGAATCCAGTTTGGTTGGACATCAGAGCAGGACACTTCAAAAGCATTCGTAAAAGAAATAAATGAACTTGATTTTCCTTCTCAGCTTCTAGAGCCATTTATATTTAGAAGGAAAAGCTCAGAAGCCTTAGATTGTGACAGATGATTAACACATAACTGTGTTCTGAGTTTATAAGACCACGCGTTGTAACAGTCAGTCAACAATGTTTATTGTGTTTAAAGAATTTTGAATTAGGTGTGTTAGAATACAAAAAAATGAGAAATAGATGATTATAATAATCCCTTATGTCATATCCTACACATTATAGCTTTCAAAGGTTTTTCACAATTATTTTCTTCTACTCAGTGAAGTAGGGAGGGAAAGTATGATCCTGGTTTTTTAGGTGAGGAAACGGAAGCTCACGAAGATTAAATGACTTGCCCAAGGTCTTATGAAAGTCACAAAGGGGCTAACCGGGAGAGTCAAAACTAGAAGCAACACTTCTGAGTAGAGGCTCTTTTATAACAGCCTATAAATTAAAATAGTTACTTCTCTTAAGGACTAAAATTCATGTTGCCAGAAAAAGTTGAAGAAAATTTTCAAAGCCTATAGTCAAGTACGTGGACATCATCGAAGCATTTGTTTGTGCCATGGCATTGGATGAATGCTATAATTAGAAAATGGACATGAAGGAGACCTAGAACGATCAAACAGATATGGTGGTTTCTAAAGCCCTTTTCAACTTCATTCAGACTGAAAAGACAGCATGAAGTGTTGGGGAGATGTTGGCTCGAAACCTTGGGAGCTTCCCAAGGTGAAGTCTGAAACTGGCCCCCATACATGGAGGGCAAGGAGAGATGGGATAAAGAGGCAGACCACTCCAGATTGGCAGCTGGCAGGTTTAACAAGCAAGGGAACTTACATACGAGGCTTGTCTTGGGCAGCCAAGAAACAAGTAGATCTCTGCACCTACCCTCCAGAATCTTAAAAGTTTATATAGAGGCCTTACTGGGGTTTAGTCACATATTCAGTCCAGATGGTCTCAATAACACATTGCTCTCTCGAGGCTGCATCCTTGAAAACAGCTCCCACTGTGGGAATGGTGGGCAGAATGCACATTTCCAAGGACAGGAGAGGGGATGAGGAGCCTCCAAGAGACCAGGTCCAGCTTGCGGGTCAACCTGCAGTCACATCCTCTTGATGAACCTTTCCCAACAGGAGAGACTCAACATTAAAGAAAACAGAAACAATTGCCATTTATGTGTGGCTTTAGATCTCCAGTAATTTTAGTGTATATTTTTCTACTTGTGTCTTAACATTTTCTCTATAAACAATCATTGACTTAAGCCCAAATCTTGTACCCTAAATCCTAAACTCTTATGGAAATATGTAGAATAGGTGAAAATAGATTTTTTTAATCAAATTTTGGAATACTATTATAAGGCAATCTCTTTTGAAACTTGAAATACTAAAATTAACGTGGAGATTTTAACACATGGACTTATGTTCCCTCCCATTGAATCTGGGCTCTGTGCCTGCTTCAGTTCTGGCAGTTTCTGGACGAGGTCTTAATAAACTGGTAGCTGCTAATTCCTGTCTCTTGGGACGCTTGCTCCTGAAACCCAGCCACCATGCTGTAAGGAAGCACAAGATGTCCATGGAGAGAGCCACATGAAAAATAACTGAAGCCCCAATGCCCCAACAGTGGCTGAGCTCCCAGCTGACAGCCAGCACTAAACTGACACCCATGTCAGCGAGCCATATTGGAAGTGACTCAGAAATAGGCTGTACCATTGACCCTGTCCCAAATGGCAGATCTATGAGCAAAATAAAATATTGTTATTTTAAATTAGTGGGTTTCTTACACAGTAAATCAGCAAAATTTGCCTAGGTTGGTTTTACCGAGAGAGGCCTTCCATAGTACATTATTTAGAGTACGTTGGTCTGAGTTTAGGGATTTTTGTGTCTTCTCTTACATTTTACAGTCAAAGGAATGATCTCCTCTCCTGTGAACATGAATCTCTTCAAATGGGTCTTGGGTTTACTGTATCGTGTGGTTATCCTGCATGCTTGTAGTGTTGTCTAATTGAGGTCATAGAGACATGTCACATCTCCCTAAGATGGAAGAGGTCTTCAATGAAATGAGTTGGAGTTCTTTTTGGTGATCAGTGGGGACAGTGGGGACATTTCCTTTAAGGAAAGGAAATGAGATTTGGGACAGATGATAGAGAAATTCCCAACTCTCATTGTGCCTCTTTCTTGTGCCTCTGATTTCGAAGTGCCAAAGTACCTTTAAGGGAACTTAATATGCTAAAATTCTCACCAAGGTCATGTTTTAATGGTGCAATTTGGCCTCACCCACATCACAAACACTTACAAAGAGCATTAGGTCTTTGATTGGGCCAGAATTTAGAGAGGCCCTGGGTCCCAAGACCAGAATGGTGATGACAGTCTTCATTAAGAAGGACTCGTTAGTGGGAAAACCATGTAAGAGGTGGTGAAATCCATTTACTAATGAATAGGATCCAATAGGATCCTGGGCTTGAATATGAATTTAAGGCAGGGATCTTGTCATGCCTAGCACAGTCCCTAATACATAGTAGGTTTTAGAAGGGTGACTAAGGCAGTGAGTGAGAAATGCTGTGCTCCTCTTGCCATTTAGCTGAAGCTTTCTTTGGGGTTGCCCTTCTTAAGCCCCTCTTGTTGCTTGTTTCTTGCAAGTGATTTCACGCATTTGGCAACACAGATCAAGCCCACGAGGAAACAGTTTTTAGACACACACGCACAGCCCTGCAGTGCAAATTTTATGAATCCGAATCGTGATTCACACAATATATTTCATGATGAACTTCAAGTCACTTCAAGGGAGGGATTTTTCCGGCTTTTAAATGGACAGCAACAGTCTGGGTTTTTTTGGGACCTGATGCACCGCCTAAACAGAAGCAGGGACTCCCTGGTCTTTTTCTCCCGGGTTCTACCTAAGAGGGAGCCAACAGAGGCACCCGCAGTTGGCTCGGCGCGCAGCGTGGGGGACACCACCCTCGGGAGCTCGGTTTCCTCAAAGCACAGATGGCTCGGCACGGAAGGATTGGAGGGAGGACAGGAGCGGCCCGGGACAAGCCCCGGAATCCCAGGCCCCGGGGACTGCCGCCCCGCGCCGCCCACTCAGGAATCCCCTCCCCTGCCGGGCGCGCCCCCGCCCCGCTGGCCGCGCGCCGCGGCCGGATCTGCTTGAATTTCAACACAAAGGGAATCCTCGGCCGCAGGAAGTGCATCACCAGAAAGGGGGACCAGGGGCGGGGAGAGGGGGATGCTTCCCTCCCTCTCTACGCCCCCGCCCTCTTGGAGCCCTGGACAGACTTGAAGAAACCCTCAGGGTCCCCCCCCTACGCCCCAGGAGCCGGGAGAATTCAAACAAGGAGCCTCCCCCCGCCCCCTGCAACAGTGGGGTGGGGAGGGGGGAAGCGGGCGCTGTCGCCCTCCAGCCAAGCCCTAACTCCCCGGCGGCGAGGACGCCCACTACCCCTCACCGCGGCTCACACACCTGTTCGCTTCCCCACTCCGTTCCTTCCGAGTGCACGAGCACCTGGGCTTGCGTTTGTTTTTCTAGCACTGGGCTCTCTCAACTTTCCTACCACATCGCCTTCCCTTCCAGGGTTTTCGGTAGAATCCCGGCTCCGGGTGTCCTCCTCCGTTCCCAGCAGGAGTGCGTGCGACCCGGGCTTGGGCGAGGCTTTCCCTGGCTGAACGTTGCTGGAGAGGGAGTCCCCGCGAGAGCCAGAGGGAGAAGGACAGGGAGGGACCACTTTCGTTTTCCAGGACACTTGCTGTTCCAGGGACTCGGCCAGGCTTTCTACCTGGAGGTGCCAGTCTTGGAGGGAACCTCGCCGTTGGGCGGGAGGAGAGGAGGCAGGCTAGACTAATTTGTCTTGAAGCTATGTTTACAAGGCAACCTTACTGCTGTTACTTGCATTATATTTTGCAAATCAATAAAACCAGCAAACTTTTCTAGAAATGTTTTATTCACATCTCTCCAGAGTGTGGGAAACCATCCATTGTCCATATAAAAAGCTATTATTTTCTTTTAGTTTAAAATGGCTTGGGTAGACCAATGGCAGTTTGGGGAGAGGAGCTGAAACACCCCTTTTTGGAGCACAATTAGGAGAGGTGAACAAACCTTGGCGCTTTGGACCACTTCCCGTGTTGAAAGACCCGGGTGACCGGGGAGGGGGCCATGCAACTAACTCCAGGCTGCCCTGCTCCTGTCGCGGGCACTCGCGATGACAGGTGCGCCGGAAGGGGGCCGCCTCCCCCTGGGGCGCCTGGCTGCCACAGCTCTCTTGGACACCACTGGGGGGCCTCCCCCCTCCCAAGTTCTAGGCGGAGGCCAGGTACCTGCCGCGACCTGTCTCCTCCCCTTTTCCAATACCACACCCACGGGACTCCGGTCTCCCCGGGAGAGGGACGGAGCGGGAACAAAGGGGTCTTTGTTCATCGGCTCCTGGGGGGGTGGGAGTAGTGCTCGCTCGCGTTTCCCGGAGCTCCTTGGAGACGGGGAGGCTCAGCGCCACCGAACCTCGCCCACATCGAGCGCTGTCCTCCATGACCCCAGCGCCTTAGGTCAGGGCACGGCGCCCCGGGCCACCGCGGGCTCTTTCCGGGCGGGCGGGGTGGGGGGGCGAGGCACCGCGCTGCGGCGCCTGGCGGGCACTGCAGTCCGTGGAGGGACGGTGGGGGGGTTTCGGCAGCTGGCGGAGGTGGAGGGGGCGGGAGAGGGAGCTTGCTCCGGGCAGAGCCTGGAGGTGCGGGGCGGGCTCCGAGAGCGCTCTCGGGGCTGCTCCAGGCAGAGCAGCGGCGGCTGGAACTCGCTTCCTCCCTCCTTCCGTCCTCCCCCTTCCCGCGATCAGCCCCATCACCACGCCAGGCCCCCCTCCCCTGCCGTCATCACGCTCCCCTTCTCCCTTCTTGGCACTTTCCTCTCGAACCATCCTTCTGGACAAAGTTTGATGGAGAATTTCACACCACGCTGGAAAAATGCCGGTTATGAAAGGATTACTGGCGCCCCAGAACACCTTCCTCGACACCATCGCCACCCGTTTTGACGGAACACGTAAGTCTTGCACTTCGACGAGTTGCAGGGTATTTTTTAAGAATGATTTTGCTCATATAAATTACTTTCGTTCCCACCTTTCTTTTTGCACCACTGGAGTGAATCCCTTCTATTCTTGCCAAGATGTCTTTTGTGCGGAGAAATTTTTTTCCTCCCATGGTTCAGTGTAGTATTAACACTTTGAAGTAGTCGCCTGGCTTGACTTCTTGGGTTTGTAAGGGCTGGAAAGACCGACGCCCGTGGTCACTATGCGACTTGTATTCTGGTACTTCTTTAAGTAACTGGCTTTTATTAATTTTATGAGGTGAAAGTAGGAAGTGTCCATATGGTGAATCGCCACCTTATCCTTCTAGAGTTTCAAGGCTCCCTAGGTTACAAGGAGAGTTTGGAATATTCTTCATCCATGCAGCTTCATTCTGTGAGGTCTTTCCCATAGGCATGATTTCCCTTCTGAGTTTAAGAAATGCAAACTAGAATCAGGATTCCCAAGTGTAAGCTTTCGGCAGAATTCTAAGCGTTGTGAGTTTGTCAGAATCTTGATTCCTGCTTTTGAGATAGAATAGCATACCTCTCAATCCTGAAATTATCCTAACACTGGAGGAGAGACTGTTGGGGAAGGAAGAGCTGGGCATTAGAAAGGCTGATCTGATCATAAGAAAAAGTTTCGACATTTTTTTTTTGATGCAGAATATTATTGGACGCTTAGCTTGTTTAAGGCAACAGTTAAAAAACAAAGATGTGTTGGTGTGTGGATGCTTGGGGAGACTGTTCGCAATTATCTTCAAGTTGTTCTCTTTCAGGACCACGGTCAGGGCCCCGTTCCTTCCCAGGCTTCTCAAGCTCCGTTCTTAAGCCAGTTGTTTCCCAGCAGGCTTTCGCCCTGTAATTAGGAGTCTGTTCTCTCATGCCCAACAAATGCCCTCATTTAGTTTCCCTATGAATATCCAGACCTTCCTCCTAGCTTATGTTGCTTCTGTATGTTTTCCTTTTTCTGCCTATTACACAAGACTCATAGAAACTCCTTTATTCTAAAGGCTTTTTCAGTGGTTCAGGTATTTTTTACTATGATGGTATATTTCCTAGAGCTGATATGGGAGAGCACATGTAACTCTATTTCCACTCCAGTAGTCTAGATACACACTGTTATTATGGTAGAAAATATGTCCTGGACTTTTCTGCTTCAGGAATAGTTGGAAAAGTTTACATAAGAGAGAAATGAAGCATTTACTTGACTTTGTTCAATTTTTATTTTTGACATCCAGTCTACTAATGGTAGTTGGTGTGGATAGTCTTCCAATGTTTTTATCTTTAGCCATTCTCTCCCCTTTTCAGTTCTAGAGGTGTCAGACTGTATGAGTGAAGTGCAATGCCATTATGTATCTGTCTTCCTTAGATAATAATATGAGAAAATTTTGTAATAATACTTCATGTTCCTGCCACTGCCATTACCTCCACCACCCAACCACCACACAAAATCATCACTGTTGTTTTTAACCAGGCATGATTGTGGGACTACTATTTATTACCTTAGGAACTGATCAGTTTCATGTGGATGTTCTTGAAGTTGCAAATTTAAACCCAAAAGGCTTTTAACATTGATCACAAATTCATCTGTTGAAAATGAAGTAATTGGCACATGGCAGTTGCTTATCTCATTGTCATTTAAAGTTGAATGGAGTGCACTGCACGGTGAATGATCCCAGCATAGCCCCAGGAATCTCTGCAGCCATCTGTTTAGATATCAGTTGCTAAAGAGGGGGCTTTGGATTCCCAGTGTGAGGATAGTGTTGCCTCTTTCTCTTATGATAGGATTTGATAAGCAGAGGGCATATAGAGAGATGTTGGTGTACTAGTTAGTAGCTCTTTTTCTATCTTAACTACACATTACTGTTAATAAAATAGAAGGTTAGAAATCTGAAATCCTTATTTGGGAAGATCATCAGCACATACAGGCATTTAAAATAATAATAAAAAAAACAGGAACTGTTGGACAGCATCCTTGGTCCGTGTTCCACAGGGTCTGGGGATTCATGAAGGGAGCCACTCTGTATGAAATCAATTTGAAAATCAGTGAAGCAAATTTCAAAGTGATGAGTAACATAAAGGTTTACTCTGGCAAGATTTTGTTTACAACATTTAATGAATACCCCTTGTCCCAACAAACCCCACTCCACGGAAAAGGATTGTGTTTTCTCATTTGCCTTTCATTTGAATTGCAAGATGGCTTGAATAATCTGAAATTTACAAAAACTACTTTAAGCAAATTTTTAGCTACAAATTTTGCTTGATCTAGAATCGTGGGCATACCATTTCCCCTGCTAAACATTTAGTTTACCTTATTATACTATCTTTCCTGTGTTGACAAATTTTATCAAGTATCATTACTACCCCTGAAACTCTTTTCCTATAATTGTCCTTCTTTCTCTTGATTTTTTATAATAGTCATTTATTTTCTCTTGCAACATAATACTCTTTTGGCAAAATTGCCACCTGCCCAGATAAGGTATACTGGAAAGTGAATGATGCTCAAAATGTAATGTGTTTACTTGGTACATTTTTCTGCCTTATTTGTTAGGCATATTTTATAGTCACGTTAGTTTCTTATTTTGGACAATTCTGATGAAAACTAGGGGAGCAAGCAACAACCCTGGCAAACCACCTTGCTAACTTAACCACCATGTAGTATTATTAACCTCTTTGATTTAATCTTGTAATGGAAAGTTATAAAACTTAAAGCATCATCTAAAATTTCTCCCAGGAAAAAAATAAATCTATGAAAATAGAAGCCTATAACATAATCTTACTAATTTATCAGTTGCGATGTTATCACAGGGCAACATAAGAGAAGTTAATAATATATTTTATCACCTAGTGACACTATTGTTTTACATAATAGTATATTTTTTCCTTTTAATATTTAAGAAGTGAGCTTTGTCAAGATTGAAAGACAATTGTGGACCATTAATTGAAACTATTTTTTTCTCATATACAATATAACTTTCAAAAACTATTGGAAAATATACATTTTTTTAAATATAAAACTACCCTAAAATATATTTACTCTAGGTGCCGACCCTGTGGCCGAGTGGTTAAGTTCACGTGCTCCGCTTTGGCAGCCCGGGGTTTCACTAGTTTGGATCCTGGGCGTAGACATGGCACCACTCATCAGGCCATGCTGAGGTGGCGTCCCACATGCCGCAACTAGAAGGACCCACAACTAGGACATACACCTATGTTCTGGGGGGATTTGGGGAGAAAAAGCAGAAAAACAAAGAAGATTGGCAACAGTTGTTAGCTCAGGCGCCAATCTTTAAAAATATGTGTATATATATTTACTCTTGAAATATGTTCTCCTGTTTGTGTTTAACTGAAACATAAGTGAGACTTAAGAAAACTAAGAACCTTGCAAATATTGAATATGTTTGCCCTATTTAAGGAGAAAAAAGTGACTCCAATGAATTTCTTTGACTCATTACATGTATCTATACTTTCCACTTGAAACACTCTAAAACACACATACACACACATACACAATCTTAACATTATGACCTGCATATAGTTCACTCCTACGTAGTTCCTTTCTTTTTTTTTTTTTACATGTTTAGTATATTTAAAAGAAATCTTTTCTGAGTCGACTTTTGCTTTAAGTACATGAATATTAATGTGGACAAAGGGAAAGTGTAATAAGAGAACACGTAAGCGCACATTTTTAAAAATAGTTTTTCAGTACAAATGTTTGCCACAGGGTACCACTTGAGGACAATGCATTTTTTTTTTGAGGATATAAAACTTTCAGAGGGAAGTGTCCATTTTCAAACATAATGGTGCATTAGCCTACATTTTCCAGTCATATCAAAATTTGGCCGGAATCCTCCTTCCCCCTTGGGGTTAGTGAGACAAGATTTAAGCTTTAAAGAAAGTTTTTAGCCCAGTGGACTTTATCAAGGAGATTCTAGTCAAAGTATTCAGAATAACGGTAGTTTCGAAACTCATTCATATTTGCATTTATTTATGTACTCCAGTATAGCCTGTTCAAAATGGTCTAAGGAAATTTGTTAAAATTGAAATATTTCACAGAGGCAATTCTCAACGTTTTTTTCTTTTCCTCCTTTTGCTTTCATCAAGGTACAGAGATCTTTTAACATTAGAAGTGTATAGAGAAAGGTACTGTAGTCAACGCTGTAGGAAGGGGAAGAATAAGGTGGGACAGCGGAGATATTCCTAAGTCTTTGCTGGGTTGTAGTTTGGACAATGTCATCAAAGGCATTTAGCCAATAAAAGTGAATGAGCTCCATTATGTATAGGTCTGTCTGTTTTACATGAAAACATTCAAGGAAATACCTAACACTCCATAGATATCTCTTCACAAATGGAAGTTTATAAAGACTCTTTGTTATTTTTATTTTTTGCATGCCACTAGTAGTCTCTTTTGTCCCTATTTTTTTGTTTAGGGAGATAGTTTCTGTGTTAGTTTTCTATTGCTGTGTAGTAAATTACCATAGACTTAGTGGCTTGTTACCTCACATTTTCTCTTGGCCAGACATCCAGGCAAGGATTAGCTGGGTCCTCTGTTCAGGATCTCACGGGGTGTAAACAGGTTGTCAGCTGGGGCTGTGGGCTCAGCTGAGGCTTGAGGCCCTCTTCCAAGCTCATGTGGTTGTGGGCAGACTTTAGTTCCCTGAGGGTTTATGATTGAGGTCCCTGTTTTCTTGCTGGCTCTCAGCCTGGGACTTTTCTCAGCAGCTAAAGGCTGCCCTCAGGTTCTTGCCACATGACCTCTTCTATAGGCCCCCTCAACGACAGAACAGCTGCTTCAAGAACAGCAGGAGTGTCTTTCTTTTAAGAGTTCACCTGACTAAGTCAGGCCCACCCAGGAAAATCTCCCTTTTGATTAAGTCAAACTCAACTGATTATAGATCTTAATTACATCTGTAAAATCCCTTCTAAAATCACATGTCCTGTCACACTGAAGGGAAAGGGATTAGACAGGATGTGTACAC